GCCTGCCAGGCTTTGCTTGGCCACCCACCAGGCTAAGCGTCATGCCCCGCCCCCCCTCCCCGACCCTACTGTGTCCGCTGACACGAACGGCGCAATGAAACTAAAGCCCTCCATCAGCTGATACTGGTGAGAAACGGCAGCGGAACGTGTGCGGAACGTGTGCAGAACGTGTGCAACACCCCCACCCCCGCACTCACGGAAGAGCGCTGTGGGACAGAGTGTGCGACCACTAGCGTCATAGCGGTCCAACGCATCGGGAGAGTCGTGGCCACAGAGCGGCTTCCTCACTGGACTTGCAAGATCACAAAATCCCTCGAGACTTCCACCATCCTCCTTGCTTAACTCACAAGATCCCTCAAGACTTTCAAAGATCACTGTTTGTTTATGTAATCCGCCTTTAAACCACAAGGAAGGATATCACATTTGATTTTGCTGTTTGATGATGTTCCTCTCCACTGCCAGGATTAAAGCTGTGAAAAACACACCGCTGCACTTTTCAAACAATGCATGGAGTAAACGAGCCGTTAGCTTACATGTAAGCTACATATGTATGAAATCGCATTGCTGCAGTACCTTTTTTTACCAGGGGGTTTAAGCTGAAACCGTTTGTGTCTAGCCCTATGTTAACTGCGGAAATTGACGTGTTCCAGAAGCGGCTTGTGGCAAAAATAGAACCCAGCCGGCTGCTTCTGGGACACGTCCGAAAGTTTCTGTGTTGCATCTGGTTTGAAACACCCTGTAGACTATAGTGGATTCCATTTGAAGCGGTGATGCTCCGCTGCCGTTCCGAGCCGCTGGTGCTTCCAGTGTGAAACGGGTAAGAGTTTGGGTTGGGGGGCCCTGTCTTGTCTAAGACACAAGAAAGGGGGTCCTTGTGAAGAAAGGTTGGGAAGCACTGTCCTACACCTATCTCCTGCATTAGCTTCTGATAGACAATAGTCTGTGAATATCTCTGTTTAGAAAATCCTCAAAGATCTACGTCACACTGTGAATTAGCATTCATGGACTTTCCGATTTTGACTTACGATGTGGAAGGCTGTTGTTGTTTTAACTTTTGTGAATCAGCAGTGCACGTCTTGGCTAGTTTAAGCTAAGCATTAGCAACATCACCACACAGCAGAGGCTTCTCCAAGCTTGTGTTATTTGTGGAGATAAAACATCCACGTTGCAAGTGAGTGATAGAGTTGGGTTCCTGTTATCAAATCCGGGACGAGATGTCAAAATATCATGAAATACGACTCCAAAACCTGCTGTCTGAAGCTCAATTCAATTCAAGTTTATTTATTGCTCCAAATCACGACAAGAGTTGTCTCAAGGCACTTCACATAATAAACATTCCAATTCAGGACAGTTCATTAGGTCAATCAGAAATAATTTTTCCTATATAAGGAACCCAGCAAATTGCATCAAGTCACTGACAAGCTCAGCTGTGATGTGGGTAACTTTAAATCAGGGTGGGTAACCCGGCATTCATTCTTACTAGAGAATACTGCAGAACCACAACCTCTACTCAAACATACAAAGCTACAGTACAAACACAAAATCTGCTATTCACACAAGACTTGGCTCTACATCAAGTGGTGATGTAGTGCTACACCACTGGCTGAGATCATGTCAGTGACAATTTACAGCTTGCTGTCCAGGTGGTGTGATGAATGAGTCCTAAAAGGCTCCGCATTTGAGATAAAAGAGCAGTCCACTTAATTGTGTTGTTTCCGTTGGCTCTGTTGACCGGAGGAAAGCTTAGGTGGTGTAACCTTCTATTGTCCAGAAAAAGCATAGTCTCATTATTAGTATTACCCAGGCAGCACTTCCATTCATTTAATGACACGATTCAAAGAAACACAACTTGTGCATAAACACAAACTGGGACATTGATTTGGAAATGGGACAGAACTTCTCTGTTCAGATGTTATCTTTACCAGCCCAGTCTGTGATGAAAAGGATTCCTTTGGTTGCGTGTTTTTAAAGTCTCCTTCTTTTTCCTGTTTTTGTGAACTTTAGGTGATTGGATTCTTCAGTCAGCGTCTGGAGCAAGCTGGAAGTGACCTGTCAGTTGAGAGGGTTCAAGAGGTCATCATGAAAGGAGCTCAGGCCCTGCCAAAGGACAGGCTGAAGGTAATTTGTGCAAACAGTAAGACTGCAGATGTAATGTGAGCATGCACGTAAGTGGTCATGAAATGTCCACATGTCGATGTTGGACGGTTGCAGAGGAAGTGAGGAGTTCATCTGGGTTGTTGAGCAGGGAGAAGTATTGGAAGAGCATATTGAACAGACCATAAGATCTGCGGAAAGTTGGGACAAATGACCAAAACCCTGTTCTTATTAGCATCAAGGCTTATCTTCATTCTATGTCTGCTGGCCTGCTACAAGCCAACATGTAATGACATTTCAAGGAGATAGGGGAGGGAGGGGGAAGCTATGGACACCGAGGATTCAGGGAAAAGTGCGGGCGGGGACATAAATCTGCCACCCCGCCTCGTTACCCAGCACTCCTAGCGGGATCGCTAACCCCTCCCCTCCCAAAGCTCCTCTATTAATCAGTGAGGGAATATGTAACCAGGGGTCTCCACGCGTCACTCCCCACCAGCACAGGGGCTTTTAATTGCATGTTTCATCATGTGTTTCATGTTCTATACTTGGCGGCGAGCTGCAAGGCATTTGTCTTGCTGGCCGACGTGGAAGAGGGATGATGCATTGCCACAAGTTCGTGTGCGTTCTCTCCCTCAGCACCTCAAAGCGCTAATGTTGCACTCGGCCATAATGACACAGAATTACACACAACCCTGCCATGTCCTTCACCCGCACCTGGAGCACTCCCATGTAGTGATCTCAAATTCACATGCATGGGATGTATGCAGGTATCTAATTGACCGTGTGGGATTTGTATGAACTTTGCCAAGTTTTTACACACTAACAGTGTGTGTGTGTGCAGCAGGTCTGTGCAAAAGTGTTGTTGGTTTTCACATTGACTCTCCCAGCCATCTGAAAGCTTTCCAGTTCCACTGGGTGTTGCGAAGCAAAAGGAGTATCTGGGCAATGTCTCCTCTGGGAGAAGTCCGCACCGTCTGATGGTACCATCACTCAAACAAACAGCTGTCTCTCGTCCTCTCTTCCCTCCATCTTATGAGCTCATCCTGCTTTTCAGACCCTCAGGGTAAAAATCTATAGGTTAGATTAACGTTGTGCAGAATCGTCGATGATTACTCTGAAAAAGCAGTATTGGTTTCTCAATCAGAGGTGCCTTTTAAGGAGACGGCTGGCCAGAAACCAGTACAAAGATATTTGGTCCTCTCAAATAAAATAATAATGGGTTGAGTCTTGTTATCCTTGGTGTGTTATGCTGGTGTAATTTCCTCCACTATAACAAAACCAGAAGCCAGAATGGTGGAATGCGATTCTCAGTTTATGAGCATGGTTGTTTTTATACCAAGCCCAACTTTGTGAATAACATTCAGATCTTTCTGCTCTCCTAGCAGATATTTGTGTTTGTTTTTGACACGATGTCACAAAAAGTAATGTGGTCATCACAATAAGTCAGTGGATATACATTTTACACATATTTAATATTTTTAGCAGCTGGGATAAGAATCGGCTCCTCTAAATCCGAGGCCATGGTCTTGAGTCGGATATTGATAGAATGCTTTCTCCGGGTCAGGGACGAGGTCCGGCCTCAAGTGGAGGTATCTCAGGGTCTTGTTTATGAGTGAGGTAAAGATGGAGGGTGAGATCGGCAGATAGATTGGTGCTGCGTCTGCAGTGATGTGGGCGTCGTACCGGTCTGTTGTGGTGAAGAGAGCTGAGCCAGAAGGCAAAGCTCTCGATTTACCAGTCGATACAAGCGGCCGGAATGAGTTTTCTCCACAGGGTGGCTGAGCTCTCCCTTAGAGACAGGGTGAGAAGTGTGGTCATCCGGGAGGGGCTCGGAGTAGACCCGCTGCTCCTCCACGGCAAGAGGAGCCAGTTGAGGTGGCTCGGGCATCTGGTCAGGATGCTTCCTGGACCCCTCCCTTGTGAGGTTTTCCAGGCACATCCAACCAGGAGAAGATCTAAAGGAAGACCCAGGACACGTTTGAGGGTCTATGTCTCTTGGCTGGCCAGGAAACGCCTTGGGATTCCCCCGGAGGAGCTGGCCTAAATGGCTGGGTAGAGGGAAGTCTGTCCTATCGACTTACGATAAGCGAAAGAAAATGGATGGATGAATATTTTATTAATATATATATATATATATATATATATATATATATTGAAATATGGTTTTCATGTTGTCAGTTTATTTAAATTAAAAAGAAAAATAATTCCTTCTTGATAGTTAGGGTTAAAGATCTACAGCTTACCATTTTGAGTCGGTTCGATTAAGGATGGTAGTTTATTAGCGAAGAGTCATTCTCAACACGTACTCCGAGCTCTAAGTGATCGCACAAGACATTTGTTGAAAACAGTATGATTAACTACTACACTTGTTGGTCTATTAGCAAAATACAGAAACTTATAAACCACAGGAAGTAGTGGTCTTGATTCGGAAAAGGGTAGAATGCCTTCTCCGGGTCAGGGATGAGGTCCTGCCCCAAGTGGAGGAGATTAAGTATCTTGGGGTCTTGTTCCCGAGTGAGGGAAAGCTGGAGCGTGAGATCGAGGTGGATTGGTGCTGCATCTGCAGTGATGCGGGCGTTGTGCCGGTCTGTCGTGGTGAAGAGAGAGCTGAGCCAGAAGGTGAAGCTCTTGATTTACCGGTCAGTCTACGTTCCTCCCCTCTGCTATGGTCATGAGCTTTGGGTAGTGACCGAAAGAACGAGATTGCGGATACAAGCGGCCGAAATGAGTTTTCTCCGCGGCGTGGCTGGGCTCTCCCTTAGAGACAGGGTGAGAAGCTCGGTCACCCGGGAGGGGCTCGGAGTAGATTCGCTGCTCCTCCACATCAAGAGGAGCCAGTTGAGGTGGCTCGGGCATCTGGTCAGGATGCCTCCTGGGCGCCTCCCTGGTGAGGTTTTCCGGTTACGTCCAACCGGGAGGAGGCCTGAAGGGAGACCCAGGACACGCTGGAGGGACTATGAATCCCAAGGCATTCCCTGGCCAGCTGAGAGACTCCCTTCAGGCCTCCTCCCAGTTGGACGTGCCCGGAAAACCTCACCAGGGAGGCGCCCAGGAGGCATCCTGACCAGATGCCCGAGCCACCTCAACTCAGAAACTAAATTATGGAAACACTTCAAATAAGTGTTGTTTGAAAGGATTGTGTGAAACTTTTTTCACTGACAATTTTGAGGGATAAAGGTGTGGAATTTCTGTATAATGAAAAGAATGTGTGAAAACAAAAAACGATTTTTCATATCTGTATGGATAATTGCATTTTTTAGTAAGACATTTAGTTGCTATGAACATTTTACTTTCATATTAAAATTTAGAATGTAAGGGTTGTATTGATGTGTAGCAAGTTAAACTACTCAAAAAAATGACACCACAGCATGTAAAAATGTAAATATAAGTCCTGGCGAACTTGTTCAATGGCAGGTCTTAAAGGGTTAACAGATATTGATTGGTTGTCACATTTTGAGACGTTTCATGAGATTGTGTTTAATGTTATTTTTGAGTTGTGACCAAAATGGTTCTTAACGTCTTTTCCCAACAAAAGATGATTTTAGTTTAAAACTCTTGACATACAAGGCAGTGGGTGATATGTGCTTCGTCAAGGCTTTTTAGATGGTGTTAATTTGTTAGGAACCGCTAACAGCTGTCAAATAAACCCATTTTGTTTTGACTTCACTGAAGAAACAGACTGATGTTGTTTTAACTGGGCTATCTTTGTGGAGAAGCTAGACTTCAGAGGGATCGTTCACTTGAAGGAATTAGAAGCATTTAGACACAGACATGCAGATTTGGGTTAAAAGAAGCAGTAAATACCCCAAAGATGACCCTTGTTGCCTCATCACTCAGCTGTCTCTTTCTCAGTCTCTGTGTGTGGGTCTGTGTGTGTGTTGTTATTTCAGGGTGTGTGAGGCTGAGTGGTTCTTGTAGGCCCTGTCTGGAATGAGCTGTTTAGCCCGTCCAGCTGAAATCCACTTTTATTGTGTAGTGATGGCCTACAGACTCTCTGGCTCCTTATGGGTGGGGTGGGGTCTAAAAGCTAGCATGTACTACTTTTCCACACATTCAACGTCCAGTATCTGATTGGGCTGTGACTGTTGGAGATACAAAAGTGGAAAAAAACAGCAGATTTTTTGCAAGTTAGTTCATATGATACTTTTGTCACCATCAGTCGCAGACCAGGGAGATTCTGGATAGACCGGTGGTGAAATCCCTTGATCTGGTCCTTGTGTGTAATTAAACACGTGACATTTGCCATTTTAGACTTTGAGTTACTTTGTTTATTATCTGTTTAATGGCCAGAGACATCGAGATCCGTGCTGGTGTGTTAGTGCCACAGAGGGGAAAAGAAGTGAAGCGCTGAGATTAAGTTAAGAAGCAAGTCCACATATTGTTACCAGAAGAAAGTGACCTGGTCATTCCACTGGATGTGTAATGTAATAGACACATTTTCACTTCAGCGGCGTTTCAGACGCACAGCAGCTGTGAAAGTGTTCACGCATCTGGTCCCTCGAGATCAGAAAATCATCAGAGAATTGCGAGGAAAGGCTTGAGTTTTCCAGTTCATGCAATAAGAAGCAAGGAGAAAGACTACATGTATCGAAAACTTATTTTTACCACTGTCTCAGAGGTGTCACAAGTAATGACTTTTTTTTTTAATTAGTTAAACAGGTGGAAATTTACGCGTCTTTTATTTTGAAAGTTGCCAGATGCTTTCCACTGCTCTAGTGTTTGACTTCCTGTCTGTCCCAATCTGAACTGCTGAGTTTGACACGCTCTTACATCACAGCACGTAAAGCAAAACCCACAGAATAAATTTTGCAAAGCAACGCGGACCGGGAGAGCGGGGAAGGGGGTGACAGCGCGAGGAACGGGGGGAGGTTGCTTTCATGGCCATGGTGCAGCGCCACACCTGAGACTATGTAGGGGAAACACTGACTCCCTATCATGCTAGCTTCTGCTCTCCTCTGGCTCACTTTTACTTCCTGAAACAGGAGCGTGAGAGCTTTTGTCCTCAGAGATCGACTCACAAGGCATTGATATTTACTTACCACTGCTAATGTGTTGAAAAAATGAGTGAGCTTGGTCTGTTTTTTGTTTGTCTGTTTTTTTTTCTGAAAATAACATCCAGACACTTAGTATCAACACTCCCTCCTTGTTTGTTTATTCCCTCAGTGGCCCTAATACATCATGGGATCCTCACATTACACTCAAATACAAAAACAGCCTTTTCCTCTGCTTCAGAAGCTGAACCCTTCTGATGTTTTGCATTCGTGAAATATTTTCTGTGAACTTCCCCAACTTTTCTTGTTTTTTTGCAAATGGCTCCTCATTTTAAACCAAATAATTTCCAGTCGGCGCTTTATCACAGACTAATAAGACGATGGAAATCATTTTAAACATTAGCTTTCAGTGTTTGTGCGTTCCAAGTTTATATTAGCTCTGCAGCAGCATTCTTGTCTCCCTGGCTGAACTCTGGCAGCACAGCAGTGAGCAGAGGAGGATGAGAGAACACAGAGTCCTGAGATATGAGGCCAGCCAGTCAGTCTGTGTTTAGAGGGCGAGGGTCCGACCCACCAGGACCTATAACGAACTGATATGTTCCCAGGCCAAGTGGACCCAGACTCGAGAACAACACAGAGGAGGGAAGGGAGAGGGAAACAGCCGGAAAGCTGGAGCAGATGTACAGAGGGGAAATCACCGTGGAGACCGAATAAAGGACAGAGATAATATTAATGATGGGATGTAGTTCACTGGAGATGCTATTCTGTTCTCTGCTCAGAAAGCACTCAAGTCTGACTCTAGAAGGGATTTTTTTTTTTTTTTTTTTTTTTTGCTGAAATGCAAGCAGTGATATCTAAGATTTCCTGTAGCACAAAATCCCCTGGTGGTTCTGTCCATTATAGAAGAAAGAGGGGGAAAATGGTGGCCATTGTGATTCAGGGATCATTTTTCCATTTTCTTATTATGGGTCTAGGAGAAGTAGCTTGATGTAGACGGGGGACTTTATATTTCTGCTGTGTAGTTCCTTTGTTTCCCTTTTGTCCAAAGCTGGCTTGGGAAACACTGATTCAAGGAAAGTGTTATTCTCTGGAACCAGCAACCACGCCGGAGCACCCAAAGACTGCATCACCTAAAACACATGACCTGTGCCTGCGAAAGGGAGCTGCTCTGCATTTCAAACACTACTTGAGTGCAACATGATTCACAATTACGCACCAAGGTTTAGCAGTTAAGTGTTGCATCAGTAGACATTGGTTGGTTAAACCCACCACACCGAGCATCAGATGTGAATGATGGTTCCCTCTGACAGACTTAACACGGAGGCAGAGAAGCTAAGAGCCAGCTCGAGCCCCGCTCAGTCTGCCACAGTTGTCGTGTCCTTGGGCAAGACACTTCACCCGCCTTTTCTGCTGATGATCGGAGGGACCGTTGGTGCCATTGTACGGCAGCCTTGCCTCCGTCAGTGCGCTCCACGGCAGCTGTGGCTTCATATAGCTCATCACCACCAGTGTGTGTACGTGTGTGTGAGTTGAATGACTGTGTTGTGAAGTGCCTTGGGGAGTTGTAGAACCCAATATGGCTCTATACATTGAACATGTTTAAAAATAGACAAACATAAAGGTAAACTGAAGTTCAGATGTGAATTTGGTTCCAAATAACGAGCTAAAGGCCAAATCCTGCTGTTGACTAGATGCTCTTTAAAAGGATTGAGTTTGTAATTATTTTTATTGAAATCTAATGAACACTTTCCCTGAGAAACAACTAACACCTGATATTCTAACAGATCTTTCAGCATCGTTACACAAAGATGCATTTTTTCGTTTAGCTGTTTTTAAAATTTTAGTAAAAAAAAATAGCCTCAATGTTTTTGCATCTCCTATCTTTAATTTAGATTTGCTTTGATGTTATGGAGAAATGTAGAATTACTATCTTGCTTGATGTAGATTTGTTCCTGAATGTCCTCAGATCTAGGCCTGATGAGCTAACGGACTGAGCGCAGCCAAGACCAAAGTGGATTGCCTGTCTGCTCAACCAACTGGTAGAGCATTTCTAAAGTCCCTATATCACGTTGAAGCATGAAATGAACTTAACATGGAATAAAAAAAATAGTAAAACAAGAAAATTCTAAAGAATGTGGAGTCATTTGAGGAAAAGGTGTAACATTATTACATTGCATTATTAATACCTTAATATTACAATTATTATATTATTTATTTATGTTAAACTAAAACCCCCACAACCAAAAATGCACAAGTGGAATGTTTTCGTTGCTTTTTTCTTGGTGCAGAAGTTAAAGGGTTAAAAGTCTTATGCAGCTGTTATTTTACCACCCTTTTCCCCACCTGCAGTTTTCCATTACTCCTTCAGTTCTCCTGAAACGTTGAAAAAGTCTCAGCTAGCATCACTTGCTCTTCATATACATGATTAGCTTATAGTGCAGCATTGGCTAATATTAACATATTAATCAGAGTAAATTTAATCTGTTAATGCTCTGACTGAAAGGTGTTAATGCTGCATGTTGACATAATGTTGATATAGTCATGTTTGCTGATTGATGCTTTTATTATCCTGATTAGCATATTAGCATAACTGTTGAGGATCTTTAAATAGACATTATTCTTCTTGCCAACCTTCCATTAATGCTTTTAATTTGATGAGTCTGTTTAAATAAAGGATCTCCAATTAAAATGAAAGATTGAAAACCATTTTCATCCCATAAGCTAACAAGTCGAAGCATGTCGTGCTGAGTAACTGTCACCATCGGTGTCACATGAACATTTGATGAGGCTATGAGACAAGTCACCTACACACAAATACCAGGAGGATAATACAGCTCCTGCATTGTGTCCAGCCTTCACAATGGCCGCGGTGTGTGTGGTGGAGTCTCGGTAGCCTGGCATATGGCCTGTGACCCCGTAGCCCCTCCGTCTGTGTCATTATGATACCGATAGTGTGGCTGTGAATGGAGCCAGTCAGGGCTCAATAGAGCAGACTGGGACCGTCGCATAAAGGCCGCAGCGTCTGTCTTTCACCGCAGACTGATTACTGGACTGCATGTGTGCCCGTGTAGACGGGAAGACATAATGAGACGTCCTTGTATTATTGATGCCGTTGCTGCCTACCTGCTGTTAGGTGGGCTGGCAGATGATGGCTTTGGTCTGGTTGGGGGACTTGGAAACAGATCCGTCTGCATTTCTTCTGAGAAAAGTTGTTTACAAACAAACAATACAGTTTCAGATGTGAACCAAAACCACCAGTAGATAATCTAACTTCAATTACTGATTTTAGTCAGAATATGAAATAAAAATATTAGTTCCACTGTAACTTTTTATAACAAGCATATTTATATAATCAGCAAAGCATTTCATAATTTCAGCTTTTCATTTTGTTAGAATCCCCAGTAAACCAGTTCCGTGTGTAAATGCTGCAGCTTTGTGTTTGTATACTAGGATCTAACGCAAGATTACTGTCAGTGCATTTTGGTTTAGCACTAATCGAAATATTTCATTTTATGTGAATAAAAATAATCGAATACATTGTGCATAGTGGGCGACGGTGGCACAGGAGTTAAGTGCTCGCCCCATAATCGGAAGGTTGCAGGTTAAAGCCCCGCTCAGTCTGTTTTTGTTGTTGTGTCCTTGGACAAGACACTTAACCCACATTGCCTGCTGGTGGTGGTCGGAGGGACCGGTGGCGCCTGTGCTCGGCAGCCTCTCCTCTGTCAGTGCGCCCCAGGGCAGCTGTGGCTACATTGTAGCTCATCCCCACCAGTGTGTGAATGTGTGTGTGAATGGGTGAATGACTGATTGTGTTGTAAAGTGCCGTGGGGGGTTCCAGGACTCTAGAAAGCACTATATCCAATACAGGCCATTTACCATAGCAGAGTTTTAAAATCAGGATTGATGAGCTAACGGCTAGTCTGAGTATAGCTAATCCAAAGTGGATTCATCTGTCCCTAAAACAGCTCCAGTAGTCTAAATTTTGCAGCAGTTTGTCAAAATTTTGTTTGTAGCATTATTATTCAAATAAAAGTAAATCCTTATTGATCAGCTCCTGGGATGCACCAGGAGTGCTACACGTTCCTGCTACTGTTGATGTTAATCCTCATAAATAACCACAGACTTCCATGTAAATAACCGTGTAATTGATGGTAATGTAAAGCTTTGTAAAACATTTCCACTGTGGCGTTTTGAAGATCTGAGATGTTTTAAGATGGCTCCCAGATATTTTGGTCTCCATTGCATTTGGACTAGCCGTTAGCTCATCAGTCACATAGAAATTGTTCCTAAAGCGTTTGCACAGAAGCACGTGTCAGAATGACCGAATCATCCCTTGAATTCCACTTGCTGGTGGTTCAAACATTGTTTTTTAACAGGAATAAACAAAACTCACCAGATTTAGTGAGACATGATGGAAAGTGTGGATTGGTACACAAGTCACCTTCAAGTTACGTTCAGATCTTTGCTTGTTTTCTTTAACTAACAGATACAATAAAACCTGCATCTAAAGTTCTAGTCTGGAGGAAAATAATAATTTTTACAAACTTTCCGTTTGTTTTTAGTGTTTGCTGGCCGGGTTGCTTAAGTGGAACAAACGTACGGTACATTGGTTTTCATAACAAATGGTATTCTGGCAACGTACGCGAAACGCTGTCTAGCAGCAGCTACAATGATTCGCATGCCTGACTTTTTTCACACATTTTCACAAGATTTGAAGCTATTTGTTTGTGATTCAGTCAGTTTTGTTTCATGTTCCTCACGTGTGAGTCATGCATCACTGTCAGTGGGGAAAACATAAACAGCATTTGTTTTTTGTTTTTTTTCTGGAAGCAGAAACGATCCTGAAAGCTCTCTTCAGTGTTTAGTCATTTAACCAAGCAGACATTTGAAGCAGTGTTGGTGTATTTGATTGGGTTTCATGCATTTTTTCTTCTTCTCTACTTTTTTTGTGTCTTTGATTAGAAGTTCCCAGAGCTTAAATTTAAGTACGTGGAGGAAGATCAGCCGGAGGACTTCTTCATCCCCTATGTGTGGTCGCTGGTCTATAACGCCGCTGTTGGCCTCTACTGGAGCCCTCACGGGATCGAGCTCTTCAGCATGGACTCTGGCTGAAAACCCTGAGAATGAAAAGACTGATGACGTGTGTGAATGTGTTTTAGAGAGTGTGTGTGTGTGTGTTTGCATGTTATCCTTTGTAGAATGTGTGCGCTGCTTTGAAAGTGCCTCGACCCTGTTGTTCATGATGGTGTTCCTCTACGCAGAACAACCTCACCTTGTAATAGTAACATTAGTAATAATAATTCCTCTGCTTCTTCATTGTGAAGCTCCATCTGTGCTGCTTAACAGCACCCCGTAGCTTCCACTTCCTCCTTTACCGGATGCCCGTTTAACATAATATATTGACTCTATTTTTTTTAAGTGATCAGTTATGATGAGAAACTCAGGTCAGTTGCAGCGGATGATCTAATGTTTGTTTTCCCAAAAGGTTACTCAACAAAAACCAAGCAAAATGTTACACTTGTTGTAAAATATCACATTAACGTCATACATTTAGGTTTTATTTTGACCCTAGATGATTCTTTGAGCACAGCAGCTTTGTATAAAGTTATTTTTCTCGCTATGTCAGAGTTTGGTTTTTAGTAGAAACGCAGTGTTTCTGGTTGTTTAACGTCCCACAATGAAGGTGCCGCAGTTTAATTAAAGCCTAATTTCAGTCCCTGGGTGATACTAGCCTCCCCCATCACTCTGATTGATATGATTTCATTGTTGCTTACGGCTCATACAGTTCGACTCTCCTCAGTCTCTGGTATTAGCATCTTTCTCGATGGAAACCCAAGGCAAAATACATAAAGTGGGACAGACTATAAAGTCTTCTGTCTTTTTGTTCAAATTTTCAATTGTCACCATTTGTTACTTCATTTGCATGTTAAACTAGAGATTTAATTTATTTATTTTCATGTATGTTTTTATATATCTATATATAAAAATTCAACAACCGCAAATGAAGTGGCAAAATGACTGCTGCTGGGAAAAAGAAGTCTGATTATTTCCAGATGGGGAAATTTGCTTTTTATTATTAGAACTTGACAACAACTGTCATTTTGTGGAACAATTTACTTTGAGAACAAGATTCTAAATAAATATATGAAAACATCTGCTTTTTGTCACCAAGTAATTAAGGAAATAAAATATAAAAGCAAATAAATAAATGAGTTCTCCCTGCCATAAAACATGTGCGAACACCAGATTTGACAGTTTATTTATCTACTTTTCTACTTATTGTGTATGACTCGTCTCTGCATGTAATCTAGAATCTTCTGGTGTTTATTCGCAGATGGCAGCCATGAATCTCACGGAACTGGAGGTACTGACTGCAGTACCCCAATGTGTCCACAGGATGTCATTCTTACACATTGCACCTTTAAGCTCCAGAGTGTCTCATTAGATGATTGGATCTGACAGTAGATGATCTTGTATATATCTGAGAATATTCTGTTCACGTTTAGACCTCGTCTTATAATTGTTTCTGTTCCTATTAATAGATTTTAAAAGACCTTTATCGTGTTATTTTAACACCTTCAACGGTAGGCACATTAAATGATCAAATATGTTGACGCTATTGAGATGCACTTTTTTTTGGAATAATTATTTTTTTACACAGCTTAGTGAAAAACATAATCGTTCTTTACCTGACATGTTTCAGCTAGTATCTCTAGCCATCATCAGAGTTCGCCAGCGTTAGTGGCGTCACTTCCGTTTATCCACAGGCAACAGAGGGCGTCGCCCTCTACTGCTCATGTTTTCTATGCTGATGACGCGGTCCCATGTGTGATCCAATATAAATACTCCATTCTGTCACTTCTTTGATGCATCTTTTGTGTTTTTGTTCTGTGTTTATGATTCTTGTTCTGTCCCAGTCCATTACGTCATGACGCGGCTCCGGCAGTGGTCACGTGATGCAAGTCTGTTCCATTTAGCCATTTTCTTTGACCAAGGAAGGACGGTGTCCTCGTTGGCAACATTGAGAAACACCCTTAGACCCGCTTCCATTTATTTTCGACACTGATTTTTATGGATATGTTACAAAGCCGCCAGTGTTTTTCCACAACTGGGCATCATTTAATTCATTTTTAACAACATTTTGATGAATATTTCCAGAGATTAACCGTAAAAACTAGACAATGTCTCTTTAAGTCTGGCTTTTGAAATGCATGCCTTACCGAAGAATTTTGAAAACATCCCATTTCTCTTCTTCTTGTTATAATCTCATTAAAATATTGTCGCAATCATGAATGTAGCTTTGACTTTAGAAGTGGGGGGGGGGGGGGGGGGGTACACAACCAGCATGAGGACCGGGGGGAGTCTTTACAGTAAGTATACAAAAAATATGTATAAACTACAGCCTAGAGGCTCTTTTATGCTATGTCAGGAATGCAGTACTGTCAAGTACACAAGTGGCAGGAGCGGCCTATCACACGTTGGCAAGTATCAGCAGAGCCCATAGATGAGCTTATAGACGATTCTAATGGAAAACAGGCTTCAACAAAAGTGGCTGTTGGTCCTAGTGCTCCACCAGTGTCTATTTAATAAAGCGTAATATTGTTTTTGGACAGTAAAGAGTGCAGGGGACTAAAATTGATTTTGGAAAAAGTGGGGGGGACATGCCCCCCACCCACCCACCCACCCACACACACACACACACACACACACACAAAAACTACATCCATAGTTGCTCTTGATTGTTTTTCTATCCTAAAAGAATCATCACCCACACATTGTGTAATAATGTGTCCTGTATCTTGTCATGACTGCAGAGGCAGCAGAAAAAAAGGTGGGGGTACAAAATTGGAGGGTAAAAGTTTAAAACACAATGGATCCATCTGTGCTGCTGAAGCTCCCACTTCCTCAGAGAATTTCATGCCTTTTGGCTCAGTTGGAATGATTTTCATGCCTGAAATTTTTCTTTCAAGGACAACATAATGGATGTAATCTGATGTAAAGAATGGCTGGTGTTGGGCTTGGGGTTGACAGTAGGTGGCTGTGACATTGGACACTGAAGGAGAGACTACTGCTCTGCATGGAGCCAGATGGCTGAACTGAGGGTTTTCACAAAGTGGCATGGCTCTCCTTGTTCCTTCATGGGGCAGGGGTCGTCCTACTGTACGTTCTCATTTCAGGTAGCAGCAGGAAGATGGATGGAGCATGGGATTCTGGGAGAGGTTATTTGCAACTTCTCCTGTGTGACTCCAGAGCCAGAGGTCAGACCCAGATTTCCACAAAGAGAATTTAGGGCACCAGAGAACGTTGGTTTGAGTACTGGTGGTGATCCTCTTGTGATTTGGATCTCATTAATATTGCCATGGTAACAGTGGGAGGTTCAGCAGTTTAAGTGTGAGGTCAGAGCAAAAACTCTGATTGAAGCATGAGAGAAACTCTGAGATTAAAATATAAAAATAAACCACCTACTGCCCTACAAACCTTGGCTGGAAGGAAAACAGTCTCAGTGAGTTGGGCCATTAATTAAAACAGAAGATAAAGAAATGCACCAACAGAACTGCCAGACCGATGGACTGACGTGATCTTCATGTCTGCAAGATAAAAGTGAAACTTTGCGGCGAGTCGCAGGAAGTGAAAAACCTTTTCTCAACTCTCCTCGGGGCACACTTTGGTTTACAGATGCTATTATACATGTTTGTACTTTACACTAAAACCATTCCCCATACATGCCTAAACAGTCCGTTAGCATGTGTACATGAAGACATACATTGGTTTTTGTAGTTCATTGTGAAACACTGATCCGCTCCAGGGATTTCAGCAACTTCTAATGCTTCACATCTTCACCGAGTTTCATAAAATTTTGTTGCGTAGCTTTTCTGAAGGCATAAACAAGACTGTCGAGGCTGAAATAGAAGCATTCCCAGGAAGCGGAGCTAGAAAAATAAAGAAGGGGTTATTTTTAACTGTTGCTTTCACAGATGACTTTTAACCTGTTTTTAAGCAATTTGGGATTTTTAAGTGAAGCATGATGAAAACTAATTTCTAGGAATCAGTGGCACTGACTGGAGTCATGTCACTTGGTCGCGAGTTAGACTAATCATTAATAGACTTCACTTGAAAAACATTTCTAAGACTTATTACTTGACTTGGACATTTACGCCAAAGACTTGACTTGGACTTTTTGAAATCATAGCAGCCTATTCTTATTAGCTTAGTTTGATTAAAACTTTACAACACAGAAGTTGGAGTTTTGAACAACTTTTTGTAATTTTTGTATTTCAATGGCACTTGTTTCATCAGGTGCTGTGATAGATACAGATTTTAAAGAGAACACGTGATGTGAACATGTTTGTATCATTTTTTCAATGACTTGAAATTTGAAGTTTGAGTCTTTGAAGTTGACTTGAAACCAGTGTCCTTATTTGAGACTTGACCCAGGACTTGACGATGCTTGCTAAATATGACTTGGCCCCACCTCAGACAGGGCCCGAACCCACCACGTGGTCAAACTTTCCCACTTTCAGATTTTCCAGTTTTCATCCAAAATAAAGCAAAATTTCTATGTTTATGTTTGAGAACCTGAAATGTGTTTCTATGCGTGGGCTTGGCTTCATGCTACACAATACAGTGACTGAAATAAATGTTCACAACATGAAAAAAAAAGTATTTTGTGGACATTTCTGCAAACATGAGCCCATTGCAAGGCAGACGATTTTCTCAGAAGTTCGCAAATTTCAAAGTTAAATTTTACAAAATTTCTCAAGACATTTTGAAAGGTCTGACATTTCAACATAAATCAACTTTATTAGTTATTTGAGACCTACTTTTGTAATACTTTTGATGTATTACCTTTGGAAATGTAACAAAAAGTTGACATTGCTGCTAGTGACTTATTAGGATCACCATGGTAACATACCTGTGTCTCTCGCTTATTTCGACTGCAGTCTTAATAAGGCAGACAAAATGGAGAGTAGAAATTTACTCAATATGCAAAAAGGAAGTTGAATTGAAAACAAATATTTTAGAAAATAAAACAATTTCACCACCAACATTCTCAGTTTTTCTCTGTTTTTCAATGCACGTTAGAATCTCAGGTCAAATGTGTGATTATCACCAAATGCAGCCATGACTTATGGGTCTTAGAACGTGAGAAAATGAATAAAGGTCCATCACAATCCATCAGTCTGACGTTGACCTATCTGAAAACGATTGTACCCAATTAAAGTAATTCTTGGACTCTGAGATTTAATGACACTGACCAATACTTCATGAAGCTTCTCTGTTGAATTGACACTTAAGATCTTCCTTGGATGTCCAGAAATGTGCTTTAGACGTCAGACTCCGCTCCTGGAGGCAGCTCGTGAATCAGATTGCATTTAGCTCATTTTTAGTATGTCATTTTAAGAATAACACAAAAATGTTAGCGAGAAATGAAAAGCACCAGAAAATCTATTTATAATCACAAAATAAGTCATTATAAAACCTAACTTTGGCCTTACAACACAAAATGTACCTTTTTAAAGCATTTGCTTCTGAGTTTCTAAACCCTCGACTTCCTTAACAGGATTAGTACTTTTGTCAAAACCTGCTGTATTCCTCAACATATCACATGCGCTCTGGTGGAGGCTCTAGGTACTGCAGGACACAAACCCAACTTATTTTATTTTATTTTTTAAATATTCAAAAGACAGTTAGTTATAACATCCGCTAGAAAACAGTTTATGAAACAAATAGCCACGTTTTGTTAACATGTTTATTGCATTATATCATCTCATAAAAACCTATATTTAATTTGTCATAATAAAAAGTTAATTTAAAGTTTAGCAGCACAACATAGGCCAGGTAATGATTGCTTATTACATTTATTAAATACGCATTTAATAAATAACCTCTAAATAACTATAAATGTGTCTTCCAGGTGATGGCGTTTTGTCCCGTCAACCCTGACTCTATTTTATTGTCAGAAGTGTCTTTTTGAGAGGATTCAGTCGGTAATCAATTAATTAATTTACTCCCTTAAGTTGGAAATATAATGCAGAATCATGAGCTAAAAATGGTAAAACTGATTTTTTAAAGATCCATATAATTAAGGATAATCTAGTTCACCACCAATACTACTACTACTACTACTACTAAGAATAATAATAATAATAATAATAATAATAATAATAATAATAATTTATAAACCACTGCTTAATTTTTTCTGCTCTTTAATGGAAAGCTTTGATAAAACTGGCGGCTCCTGGAGTCTAGTCTCATAAAAGCAAAGGTAAGGACATGATGGGAGGGAAGGAAGGAGAAGGAGGGGGAGGAGTACTGCAGCCAGTCACTTCCACATACCCCGTTAGACGACCTCCTCCTCCTCCTCCTCCTCCCCAGGCTGATTGTTTCCAGACTCCGTTAAAACGCGGAGCACCGTTTGGGGCTGCTACTCGGCGCCAGTGGGGGATCTAGGGGACAAAGCTGACCCCCCCCCCCCCCCCCAACTCATGCACACACACCTCTCTCTCCCACTCCAGACACCTCAACCCTTGCATGCCCCGCAGCGACTCTGTCACATTAACATACTGTTGGCTGCACCTCCTCCACTGGACTGTCCAGGGAGCTCTGCAGAGGAGACATGGATAGGAGAAAAAAAATTTATTTACACCCTCTGACTGGAGCCCACCCTCATACATCTCAATGAGACCTGGAGTTCTGTTTGTTGTTTTAAAACTATTGTTTTGTTAACCAAGTTTGGTGCATGTTAGAAACTTATTAGTAATTTAATAAAAATAAAGAATGACCAGCAGCTGTTTAACCTGCATGTTATTTTTAAACCTCTTCTATTGCGCCTGAAAGACAAATGTCCAGAAGGGGGCAGCAGCGGGCTCCCGTCTGCCTGTCAGACGGTCAATATTAAAGGGTTTATTATCCCTGAGTACAGTCTGACAGGCGCACATGTTCTTTTAAATCGAAGAATTAACTCACGTAAAATTCAAATATTTAAGCTAAATTAATCACCTAACAAAAATATAAAGTAATTTTAATACCTTTTTTAATTATCATATTACACTTAAGGCGTTCATTTGAAGGAGAAACATGGATGAAATTGAATTTTGGATAAATAAATCGATTATTAAATTAAAACAGACAAATATACACAAATTTAACTTATAATAAATAGTACAGATTAACTCTAAATATCTTGAGTTGTTGAATGTTATGTTTATCTTTCCCTTTTATTTATAATTTATCACAAATAAGTTTTCTCTTTCCGCCTAGACGCATTTTAACCCACTTTTTTGAAGTTTCAAACATATTTTTTACTTATTGTGTTTTTGGTGCTCACGCGCCTGTGACGGTGTGCGTGTTGTGTATGTGCGCGCTGCGGGCTCTGCTTGATCTGTTGTTTGCGCAACACAATCACATTTCTTTTAAGCGACAGGGTGTCTAGACACACACGTGACCGGGCGCGTCAGTGCGCACTGGAGACTGGAGACTGAGGAAGGGCACCCAAACCATCCGCCTCATTTACACACAGAGCCGTTTACCACCAAGCCCCCTCCGCGAGGAGAAGCAGCAGCAGAAGAAGACGGCTCAGTTTCTTCCACACTCCTTCACGCCACGGAAACTTCGCGTGAGCTACGAGGCTGGATTATTTGACCCGAGAAGGGAATTCGGTGGCTAAAATAGGTTCTCAGACTCTTGTCAGACGCGCACCGAGGTCTCTCTCTCTCTCGCTCTCTCTCTCTCTCTCTCGCTTCCTGCGTGGCTTTAACTCCCAACTCGGCTGAGTGAGTGGGTGAGGGAGTGAGTGAGAGACAGACCTGGATTTTGCTCCGCGGCTCTCTCAGGACAAGGCTGAGAAAACATACCCTGCACTCACGCAGCCGCACCGAGCCTGGAGCAGCAGCAGAGCCTGCGTGCTGCCGGTGGGATCAAGGATTTTGTGGATTAATGCTCCTGAAGACACGGCGACGAGCTTCGGGTTTTTTTCTTCATGGGATAATTTGCGGATAGCATTGAGGCTTAATTAGGCCCCGGTTTGAATAATGTCAACAACAGCCAATGCACGCTGATAGTCTTGTTGGAGACCTTTTATTATTATTATTATTGCTCAGAGAGAACATACATCCGAGCTGCGTGGTGGATTTTCTGTTAGTTCAGAAGATTTAAAAGCTGCCCGGAGGTGATGGTGTTCTACTCCCGGAGGAAACGTCGACTGTCCCGTCAACCCTGACTCTTTATTTTATTTTTATTTCGTGGATCTGGTCTGCTGGAGAACAGCTACGGAGACTGGCGCATGCTACAGATTTCCTCCGCTCGTCCAGCTCCCAGGTTTTCCACCGTCTCTTCTCCGGCTGCTTGTCATTGCCTAGACTTGGATCCCGGAATCTTCATGATTTGCGGACACCATGCTCGTTTTTTAGCCGGGAAATCTTCTTTTCGTCCCGCATGTTTAGGACCAAACGATCGGGGCTCGTCCGGCGACTCTGGAGGAGCCGTGCGCCCGTGGAGGGCGACGGGGAGACGGATAGAGGAACGCATGGCTCCGGGGGCTGCTGCATGGGCAAAGCGACAAAGGTGGCCAAGTCCAACGCAGGCTCGGAGGCTGAACTGAAGGCGTTGACCCACTCTTTGCTGAAAAAGATCAAAGAGAAACATTTAGAGGTGCTTTTGCAGGCGGTGGAGTCCAAGGGGGGTGCCCGCAGCCCTTGCTTGCTGCTGCCCAGCAAAGTGGACGCCAAAGTGGGTCAGCAGTCTTACTCTCTCCCCATGCTGCTCTACAAAGTGTTCAGGTGGCCGGATCTCAGGCATTCCTCGGAGCTGAAGAGGCTGTCTTGCTGTGAATCCTACGGGAAAACCAACCCGGACCCCGTTTGCTGCAACCCGCACCACATGAGCAGGCTTTGTGAACTCGGTGAGCAAAAACAAAACATAAAAAAAAAATCCTGAAATGCACCGATTTCTCCACTGATGGAGTCTGTCTCAATTTCCGAGTCAGACTCCTGGTGGATTAATTAGCCTAATTGGAATGACATCACCTCCCTGTCACAGTGGGCTTGAGTTTCCATAGGGTCACGTGTGAACTGGAGTGTGCTCCGAATGGCCTCATTAGTTCAGTCCTTCACATGGAGAGGTCTGTGCTGGTAGGTGCGTTTGTTAAACGCTTTGGTGTTTCAGAAACACGCACATTCATTCTCAGAGAACCCCCTCAGTAGGGGCTTTCCGTGAACTTTCCAGCCCATCTCACTAATGTATGTGTGTGTGTGTGTGTGTGTGTGCGCGCGCGCGTGCATGCTTGGCGTCCCGGGCCAAAAGAGGCCAGTATCTCAGTTTGTCCTAGACGTTGATAGTGGCCCTTCTGGCGCCAGGCGGCCCCCTGTTTATCTGCCTGCCAATGAAAGGCAATAGCCGCCCGGCCAACACCCCCCCCCCCACACACACACACACACACACACACACACACTAACTATACCTTGAGGAATGACAACTCTTATCTTAAAGTTTAAATCTCCCTGAGTGTTTTTTCTCATGAACTTCCTCTCTCCTCTCTCTCTCTCTCCCTCTCTCTCTCTCTCTCTCTCCCTCTCTCCCTCTCTCTCTCTCTCTCCCTCTCTCCCTCTCTCTCTCTCTCTCTCCACACAGAGTCTCCCCCTCCTCCATATTCGCGCTATCCCATGGATTATCTCAAACCACCAGGTAAGTTCCATGTTTTATCAATGTTGTGGACTGGATTTGCTTCACACATAATGTTCTCGCAACCCTGCAATGAGTGTGTTTTTGTGTTTGTGTGTGTGTGTATGTGTGTGTGTGTGAGAGAGAGAGAGAGAGAGAGAGAGAGAGAGAGAGAGAGAGATAGAAGAGAGAGAGAGAGAGAGAGTGAGTGAGTGAGTGAGTGAGTGAGTGAGTGAGTGAGTGAGTGAGTGAGTGAGTGTGTGTGTGTGTGTGTGTGTGTGTGTGTGTGTGTGTGTGTGTGTGTGTGTGTGTGTGTGTGTGTGTGTGTGTGTAGAGAGAGAGAGAGAGAGTGAGTGTGTGTGTGTGTGTGTGTGTGTGTGTGTGTGTGTGTGTGAGAGAGAGAGAGAGAGAGAGAGAGAGAGAGAGAGAGAGAGAGAGAGAGAAGGAAATGGCCCCACGTTATGTTGTGATTTATGATAGCAGTGGAGTGGCATGCCTGGCTGGCTGGCCAAGTCCAGTATGGCTGGCAGCCAGGGCAAGGCAATACACAGAAGAGATAGCAGCTATAGACTGACTGACACGGTGTGTGTGTGTGTGTGTGTGTGTGTGTGTGTGTGTGTGTGTGTGTGTGTGTGTGTGTGGAGACACAGCAACATCTCTGGAGTCGGGCAGCCTTCATCACCTGAAATCATCTACAGATTCTGTGTTGATGTGACCAACTTCTGCGTTTTTACACTTGTTTGACCCTGGTGGATTTCCGTCCACGCTGGACAAACACGAATAAACGGAAACAAGATATGTCACTGCCTGTGAAATTTCCTTTTGAAGTGTGACGAATCGACTGCAGCGCCGTAGAGGAAACACCACAAATATTGTACTTTTCTTTTTGCTGAGACTGTAAATCATCTCGTCTCCATCTCCGCGCTGCTCATCCATCCAGGGTCACAGGGTCACATCGGTAGCAGGAATAGCTGAGGAGGAGAGTTGGGTTGAGCTGTCCAGCCAGTCAGCCTGCTCCAAAAAGGAGAAAGTGGCTTTCAGTGAGTGGAAACAATAGGAAGTCATTGCAGCTGCAGCTGTGGTGATCCAAGCCCCCTCCCCCTGTCATCTTTATTTACCCGACTCTAATGATGTTGTTGCGCTTGGACAGAAGCGACTCCAGAACTTTTAAACACAAGCTAAATGAATGTTAAAAAAAACACCACACACTGTCATTATAGCTCTCCATTTCTGGAGTGGCGTCTCCTCGTCGGGTTTCTGGAGACTTTCCAGCAATGAAAGGAAGCAAGACAGTAAATAGGAAATGCAAGCGGAATGCAGACAAAAGAAACGGTTATACAACCACCCCGTTTCCTCTCTTGGAGCTAGCTTGAATTGGTGTGGCGGTGGTGGCATTAGACATAGTTTAGAAGCATTTGGGAATATTTTCAGAAGTTAAAAATCCAATATTCTCCAGAAATTTATTAAAGTCCAGATTGCGTGCTGCTGTAAAAGCAGAGAAGAGCTGCTATGGTATCCCGGAGGATCAAAAAGGTTGTTAATGCTCGAATATAGAAGCATGTGGAGAAAAATGGCATGCCCCACTGTTGAGGAGGGTTAGGGGTAGTTAGGGGTGTATTTTTGATGTGTGTCATATTCTGCCAATGTATTTTGCCCACGTTCTGCCATCTTTAGTTACTCTGACTGTAAAACACCGAAACTAGAAGCTTGTGACTTCAAACCCTCATAAAATAAGTACTTTTTTGTAGATTAAATTATTTTCATGAATGTTTGGAGCTGAGATTGAATTATACATTTTATTTGCAGGGCCCCAGTAGTCCAGGTCTGCTTCTGTTTTTGGTTTCTTTGAGTCGGTCCAGGTGCAGTCATGGCTTATCAAAGGAGTCTCTGTCAGTTTATCTGGTTGTGTGTGTCTTTGTATCGTCCAGGAAAGGTGAAAGACATATTAATTGGACAATGGAGCAAGCCAGAGGGCAAACACACACTCACACTCACACACACACACACACACACACACACACACACACACACACACACAGGACAGATCAGCTTATCGTGCAGAAAGACCAGGGTTTTTCCCCACAGCCTGCAGGAAGCTGCTACTCATCATCCCCATTTACATTCATTGACAATTCCATCATTCTCATGTAGCTGGGTGTCTTTAAACATCAGAGAATATGAAAATTAATGTCAACAAGGCGATCAGACGTTTATAACGTCCCCGTGAAGCAGAGGAGCGGTGGATTTTACGATGCAGGAAGTGGGGTTATGTGCGTCAGGGTGCCCGTCCTGCTCCGGCAGCGGCGGTCAATATGAAAGGAGCCTGAACATAAAACCCTACCTTGTTGCAGCTCTGGGGAATATAAATCGCACACTGTTTGGCTCTCTGGCTCAGCCCTGTGGTCAGCTGTGAAATGTTACCTGAGAGACCAGGGGCAAGGTACGCTGGCAACCAATGAAAGCCAGGAAGGCTTGAGTTCTGCCCGTGCGGCGACCGCAGGAGTGCGGGCCGCGTCCGGGCAGGCCAGGGCAGGGCAGAGCCATCTTTACCATCCATGTGGCTTCAAGTCAAACCCTCCCAGAATATAAACACTCCGCTTCATTGTCCCAGCTCAGTCCGACTGGAGGCGTGCTCACCGGGGCTCGGTCTGCAGCAGCATGGGTAGTGATGGATGGTCACACAGATCCTCTGTTCACTCTCCATTCAGGTGTTCACTTTTAGACATCGTCTTTTTGGTGCGTTTTCTTTTAACGAATCAGAAAAAACAACCACCAGACTTTTAAGACCCAGTTTGTCCTCAGTTATATGATCTGTGTGCAATTATTGAGGCTGGAATCAAAAGTTTCCGGCCCCAAATGCTCGCCTGGTTCATGAGCAGAAAGAGATCTGGCTCTTTCCAGATCAGCGGCTCGTCTACGCAGAGAACCGGGGCTAACATTCCTTCCAAAGCAGTGGATTATGGGGGATTATTGGGGGTGTAAGAAATTCTCTGCTGTGTGTGTGTGTGTGTGTGTGTGTGTGTGTGTGTGTGTGTGTGTGTGTGTGTGTGTGTGTGTGTGTGTTAAAGAGAGAGTGTGAGCTTCATCGTCAGCGTCTTCATTAGGCATTGATTTCACACGAGTGATTGACGGCGTCACAGCTGCTGGTCTCTCATCTCACACACACACACACACACACACACACACACACACACACACACACACACACACACACACACACACACACACAGGAATTCACTCCGTACTAACTCAAAGTCTTCTTCCTCCAGATTCTCCAGACTCTGGACCTTCATCCAGTGAGACTGGAGGAACGACGTACTCGGCCCCCGTGGGGCTTTCAGGTGAATATCTCTACAAGTTCACATCGCCCATTCATCTTCTCTCCTCATCATCTTCCTCCCCTGTTTTCCTTTCCTTCTTCTTTGCATTCCTCCCAACACACACACACACACACACGCACGCACGCACGCACGCACGCACGCACGCACGCACGCACACACACACACACACACACACACACACACACACACACACCATCTCCTCTCCATACTTTGAGATGATGAGGCTGTGATTGTGGGGGCCCCTGCTTCCCCTCTGTAATAAAAAGCCAGTGGAGGAGGTGGAGGAGGAGGAGGGTGGTGTAGTTCTCCCACAGCCACATAAATTCTTCCCTCCTGGCTCTTTTGAACAACACTCCTCTTTTCTTCCCGCTCTCTGTGTGATGTTGTAATAGAAGACCAACATGCCGGGTCGTTGTTTGCAGAAGAATATGCTCAGTTCATGTGATGTGTGTGTGTGTGTGGGGGGGGGGGGGGGTCCCTTCAAGTGACATTTGAGTGTTTGTTTCGGCATGTTTGCACGTACAGGAGGCATCTTTGTAGTCGGGGAACTCTCCTCTAGGCTGTGTGTGGATAAGGGTGAGACACAGACGCCTTTCTCTCTGCCAGCTCTGATGCCGGACGTGTTTTTGGGCGTCTGCAGCCTTCCCCTCTAATCGCCCGTCGGCGACGCATCACCTCCTTTAGCAGTCGTCGCCCAGGGAGCACAACGAGGCGATGCTTCTGAGAGGAGGAGCGCTTTGGCTTCGTGCTGCTCTCCGCTCTGCTTTTGCTGCAGATGGTTCTCATTATTGGCCCTTTTTAAAGCCTGTTTTATGTCAGTTAGTGTTCGCTGCCCATTCCCCCCCCCCCCCCCCATCCTTTGTTTGGTGGTAGGGGGTGGAGGTTTTAGCCTTGCCTGTCTGAGCTGTTGAAGAAAAATCAGAGGCTTTAAAGAGCAGAAGATCCAGAAATCCTGCTCTCCTCTGACCTGTGGGACGGACGCTACAGTCCTCCCAGTGTGCATTCACTAAAGACACGTTTTTAAAATGTGTAACCCAAGAAGGCTTAAACAGCCACCCCTTCACCAGTCAGGTGCCACCCCTCCTCTGTCTTTTCCACCTCCTCCCCTGTTTTTCCTTCCTGGTGAGGATGACATGACAGTGGCACCCAGCCGTTTGGTAAATGGAGCTCCTCAGTGAGAGCAGGAGAGGCTGATGGCCAAAGCGCTCTGCCCTCATGATTTCCCTGGCAAGCTCGGAGGAAAAGAAAAGGAGAGAGAGAGAGAGAGAGAGAGAGAGAGAGAGAGAGAGAGAGAGAGAGAGAGAGAGAGAGAGAGAGAGAGAGAGAGAGGTGAATCCATTCCTGTTCTTCCCTCCTCCCTGGTTCCCTGCTCTGCTCCCTTCCTCTGGGGGCCTGCAAAAAGAAACATGGCTCTCCCAGAGGCCCGCTCCTGACCTTCTAATTCATTCACTCTGCCCTTTTTGTGTTCTTCTTCAGACACATTTACAGACAACAGGGAGGCTCTAAGGGGAGAGGCGACAGTTCTCGACTTTTTTCTGTGTGTTGCACGATAATCATTAGGAGCTTTAGCTAAACTGGAGCTGCATCTCAGGCAGGGTGGGTGGTTTACTGGCAAACAAAGTTCAGATGGAGCCGAGGAGATGAAGTTCTTCCTTGTTTATATATAAAAAAAATAAAACACCTGGATCATTCGGGCTGGAAGGAGTTAAACGAACTGTGACAGCGACAAGCGCAAATGCAGACTAGGCTGCCTGCCAGGCTAGCAGCTCCAAAGCTCCCCTCGCCGGCTCACGTCATCAGCTTGGAGCAGAGCAGGGAGGGAAGGGAAGAGGAGAGGACGAGCGGAGCCGGGTGTCGGGGGGTTAGGTTCACCCAGGAACTGAACAGAGAGATCAGAGATTGTGAAACGGAGAGCAGGTCAGGGTTAAGAGGGTGCTGCACTGTTGGTTATGAATCTGTGGAGTGTTAAATGACTGAGTTATGAGCAGCTTAGGAAGTAATCCTGTTGCCAGCCGTCTACTTTTTGGTTGTTGTCAGGCTAAAACAGGTCTGGAGCCACTTTAGCGCGTTTCTGTGCTCTCCTGCGGGAGGCTAGGCCTGATGTTTTATGTAAAATGGCACCTTTTCCTAGACAATAATATAGAATTGTTCAACATGGACATGATAATGAAGCAGAATGAAGAAAGCAAACTTTTTTGCATTTTGTTTATCTTAACCTCCAATGGGGACAGATCCCAGCAGCACCAGCCTTCTCTACAGTTCTGTTTAAGTGTCAGACGCTCGGTGGGTCACTGGCATGCCTGTTGGTGCCATTTGGGGCAGACCCGGAGTGCCTGAGTGTAAGAGGATCTGGCTGGGCTCTGCTCACACACACATGGGCAGATAGGATGACCCGGTGCGAGCCCTGGCGCGCGGCCGTTTGTCACACAGGCGCTTCCTCCCACTGCAGGTTAAATTTAGGACAAGTTGTATTCTTATACTGCCAGCCTGCCTCGACAGACAGTCACCCGGCCCTTCAGTCAGGCAATTAGTCATCCAGCGAATTGGCTGGAAGTGTAACCTTCATCAGTGGCTCTGATGGAGATTAAATTTAGTCTTGGCACCTCGGCTCATTAAATCAACCCAGATCTGCTCGTCTAATGAACCCGCCCTCCTAAAAAGAGCTTCTTTTTTTTTACAAACTCAAGGACAAAACAGGCCTGTGACAATTTAAAGTAAACCCATCAGCTAATCCTTTTTTTTAAAATCAGTCTTAAGCTATTAAGAAACAGAGCACCCTCAGTCTTCCTCCTCTTCAAACTCTTACTTGACGGAAAACAAACACTGGGGTGCAGCAGCCAGAAAAGTAAAGGAGGTGAAACCATAAGAAAGAAGGAGAAGACGAGATTTTGTGTTGCGGAATAGAAACGGACGCCTGTTAAAGCGGTTCGTTTTTAGAGAAAATAAGCACCCTCGTTGCCCGAGCTGCTGTAGGAGAAAGGAATGAAGATGGAGAGAAGATGGCGGCTTTGGGTGGAGGGAAGGATGGCCGTCAGTTCTGCTCTCTGTAATTTGGAGGCTGTGTGTTAGCCAGTGAGTTGAGCATAGCAGAACCGGGCCGCTCTGTGCTGGGCCAGGATCTCTCATTACTCCCCACTTCCTCTCCTCGCGAGGCAGCCAAGCCACCTCTTGGCAAGGGACTTAATTTTGGCTTTGGCCGCCCTCTGTTCCCCACCCTGTGTCATTATGCTGCGCAAATCGAAAAAACAGCACATGGAGGAGGCGGCGGATGATGATGGAGAGGATGGAGGAGAGTGTGTCG